GAAAAAGATGTTGTTTCCACTTAAATTGTATCGTTAAGGGTGAAAACAAAATATGTTCTTCAACGACAAATTGTCGCTGACTTGAGTCAACGACATTTGTTTCGCTTTGGTTCATGATGATGTTCTATTTTTTGGAACGACTAAATTTTCACTCATCTGATTGTTTCTGTACAACCATTTTTTAACAGTGTATGTCGTGTCCGCACTAAACTTTGTTGCGGACCACTAAATTTTAGGCGATGTGAAAGGGTAAGAGAACAATAGTATTGTCCGCGTTTGTAATGTGCAATGACTGCACAATTTGACGCCGGTAAAATGGCACTCATTTGACTGCGTCACCGGGTGTGTTATAGACTACGTTCGGTTTTTCAGAGAGTAGGGGCAAAGTAAGGCCCTTTTCCTACCTCCCAGGCGGCTATTTAAGACTCACTGCACCCCGCCCCTCCTCTTCATCCGCACGCACCCGCAGTGTTCACCTCATCAGCAAGTTGAGCGTTTGCGCGCGGCGCTGCTGTCACCGAGGACAGGCAGGCAGGCCGGGTCAGCGCTTCCAAGATGCACTGTTAAAAATAAATCGCAAAATCCAGAGAATGCGTTCAAAAGCTTCTTCGGAAAATATTTTTTGGTACTGGTGGAAAATAAAACCAAAGTTGGGGTCCATTGAAACAATGTCGAATACGAAAAATAATCTTTGATCTTGTTTCATACTACAAGAACTCAAACGATAGGTCTACAGTCAAAGGGGATGTCTGTGTCGTCAAAAACGCCCTCGGAAACATAAGAAACCCCGCCGAATTCGAAGCCGAAATTGCTCGAATAGGTAGTTTTGTCGGTTTGGTGGTCAATAAGGGTTTCGGAAGGAGCGCCTGCGAGAAGGGCGGATAGGCAACCACGCACAGAGGTGCGTGGCGGGCGTGCCTATCCCCAAGTTCGCAGGCGCTACGCAGATGACTCGCAGGCGATTCGCGGGCAACCTCAATGTGCCTTGTTCAAGTGCCTCGATCGCGACACACAAACACACTCACACAGAATGCATCTCATCTCTTCTCGCGCCTGCCCCTGCCCGTCTTTCCACTGCGTAACAGCTTGCCGGCGACAGGCACAACAAGTGTCACGTGTCATCGGCACATGGTGACGGGCGGCAGGGAGGGGGTGGAATCAGCAGGCTGAATCCGAGTGCTGTTGCCCTGTCTCTCTCGCACCCTCACGGTACGCCCCTTGAGCGCAAGAGAGGCAGAGCGACGAAAACGACTCTCGGCATCCTTCCGCTGCATGACGGACTCGGCCGTGGCCTTTGCCTACTACTCCCGGCGTGTGTCGCGTACACAAGGAAGGCCTCAACGCTCAAGGCGGGTCGGTCCGAAACAAGGGACAGCACGACACGGCGCAAAGCAACTCGATGGGAGAGGGACAGAGAGAGAGAAGGGTGTGGAGGGTGGGGGGGGAGATGGAATTTATGTACGTATTAGATCCAAATTGATTGGCACTAAGAAAATGATACGGTAGATGGGAAAAGAGAGAGAAAGAGATACGGGGTGAAGAGAGAGACGGAGAGAAGAGGGAGAGAGAGAGAGAGAGAGAGAGGGGGGCTAATGAAATCAGTGCGCCGGCTTTACCTGCGCGATGGGTCCCCGCTGTCTGGCCCTCCATGGCGCCGGGCGCGCGGCCGGGGTTTGAGTTAGGGCTCAAGGCGAGGCTTAGACCATCGGGGCTCAAACGGGACGGGGCTCGTGCTCATGTCCTGTACGCTTAACATTTCACAGGTAACAGGCAAAACAAACCAATTGCAACGCGTCTTCGGCACATCGTGACGGGCGGCAGGGAGGGGGTATAATCAGCAGGCTGAATCCGAGTGCTGTTGCCCTGTCTCTCTCGCACCCTCACGGTACGCACCATGAGTGCAAGGGAGACGAAGCGACGTAAACGACTTTCGGCATCCATCTGCTGCATGAAGGACTCGGCCGAGGCCTTTGCCTACTGCTCCCGGCGCTCGGTGAGCCGCGTACACAAGGAAGGCCTTAACGCTCAAGGCGGGTCGGTCCGAAACAGTGGACGTGGACAGCACTCCGGACAGCATGACATGCATGGCGCACAGCAACGCGATGGGAGAGGGGCAGAGGAGGGGGGGAAGATTGGAATTTATAACCATATTAGCGACCCATAATGATAGGCACCTAAAATGGAACAGAACAGGGAGAGAAAGAGGGGGAGGAGAAACACACACACAGAGAGAGAGAGAGAGAGAGAGAGAGAGAGGAGAGAGAGAGAGAGAGAGAGAAAGTAAGAGAGAGGAATGAAAGAGAGAGACGAAAGCCGAAAGAGAGAGACGAGAGAGAGAGAGAGAGAGAGAGAGAGAGAGAGAGAGAGAAACAGAGGCAGAGAGAGAGAGAGAAGAGAAACAAGGGCGGATCCAGGACGGGTTCAGGGGGGGGCGACGTCGTGAAAGTTGCCTACCTACAGGGGTTATGTGCGACTTTTTGCCTACCTTTCAGGCGTCTTCGCCGCCTTCAGGGGGGGGCGACGCCCCCATCGCCCCCCCCTTGGATCCGCGCCTGGAGAGAAACAGAGGCAGAGAGAGAGAGAGAGAGAGAAACAGAGGCAGAGAGGCGAAAGAGAGAGAGAAAAACAGAGGCAGAGAGGCGAAAGAGAGCGAGGAAAGGGGGGCAGAGAAAAGGACATAGAGAGGAGAGAGGGAGAGAGAGTGCGAGAGAGAAGCTAATGAAATCAGTGCGCCGGCCTTACCTGCGCGAAGGGCGCCCCGCCGTCTGGCCGTCCATGGCAGCGGGCGGTGCCGGGCGGCGCGTGGCGGCGCTGCGCTTGCCGCGGCGAGCTGGTCGATGACGCGTTGCCTAGCAGCCGGCCACAGCGGCCAAGCTTCCGCTGCCCCGCTGCCGCCGCGCGGAGCAGACGGGCGGGCCGCCACCTCCTGGCTCGCCTGGCCGCCCAGCCGCGAGCTGGCCTCACGCTGTCGTCTGCTGAGCTTGACAGACAGCTGGAGCCCGCAGCGCCCAGCGGCGGTCCTGTGTCGGCGAAAGGGCAACCTAACCTCACTTTGCCTTGCAAGCTACCGCACTAGGGGGCCCCACTCGAAAATTCACTGTAGGCGCTAAAGATGTCATGCTCAATTTTCTTCGGAACGACAGGGCTATTTTTACAGGGAGATGAGCTTTTTGTAGGAATTTCACCGGGAAAACTGCACATATTTCTTTATTTCTGAGCTACGTTACGTACAAATTTGAACGAAATTTTCATCTGCCTTAAAAACTGCGTCGTCTCTTACGAAATGGGCACAAAATCGTTTAGCGCTTATACAGATCGTTTCACAATGATTAACTTGGTATTTTTTCGTGCAAAACTAGAAATAAAATTGAGCTTACACGTGTTATGCACAAATTTGTCTGTTTTATGCTCTCATCCTCTCCAGTAACTTTGGTACTTAACCATTAACAGGCTCATGAAGCCAGAAACTTAATGATGAAAACGTTAGTTATGGCAGAAGGTTGGTTGATAACCTATTTTGCCCCAACTCACAGGCGTGCCGGAGGGGTATTGTGGCAGCGCCTCCACTTGGCGCACACAATGGGCTTCCGAGGCCGAACTCTTCGACAAGGAAGCACAAAAGCCGCAGCTCCTCTCCGCGGTTCTCGGACTTTTCTAATTTTGTCGGATCACGGCAAGGAATCTGCGCGGGGGCCGCTACAGCGAGACGAACTGAGCTCCACAACGGTGGGTGGCGGTGCGTGGCGCGTATCGACCGCTTTGTTCGGCGCGAGGCCGCGGCTGCGCTGCGCAGCGTGCTCGGCTCCGCGTGCGTGCGTGCGTGCGGGCCGCGCGGCGCGGCCGGTCCGGCGCGAGGATCGCTCCTGACTGTGCGGCCGTCTGCACGCGTCGGGCCCGACCGAGCGCAACAACGGTCCTTCCAGCACACTGCTTCTCCGAGTCTGCCTCACTCCCGGGGCGCCTCGTCGAGGTGCGAGAGAGACAGAAAACGACTCTCGGGCTCAGTCCGCAGGACGGCGCGTCTGGGCCGTTGCCCAACTCGGCCCCCCTTCCCTCTCCTTCCCCCTCCCCTTTCTCCTGCCGCACCCCTCTCCTTCCCCCCTCTCCCCTGCCGCCTGTTCCCCGCCGCGCCGTGCCGCCGCTGGAAACACAGCGTCCTTCCAGGCGGCTCGTCGTCCTCGCACGTGTTCGCGTCAAGCAATGGGCAAGTTTGCAATGGGCGACGCCACGCCGTGGCGCGTGCACGCACGGCGGCTCCAGACCAAGGGGAAATAACTGAAGCCAAATTTGTTCACCGAAATTCGTCAAACTTGCAAAATTCACTAAAATTCATTAAAATCCATCAAAATTTGATTGTAATTCATCAAAGTCAGTTTGAAATCCATCGGATTTTGACTGGAATCCGTCAAATTTTGACTAAAATTCATCGAATTTCGATTCAAATTCATCGGATTTCGGGGATGGCTCAGTAAATACACGCACACCTGATCCAAATTATTTCCCCATTAATTGCATAAATTATGATTAATTGTGAATTATGTAAAATTATTACAAATTATTGGTAATTATTCCAAAAAAATTAAAATAATCAAAATAAAATTGAAATTGTTCGGAAGGACGATCATGCTCCGTAGCGACGCCCGAGCAGCGGCAAGCTTATGTTGATTTGGGTTGTGTCGAGCAGGACGATCACCGACGTGGATTTCAAGTCATCGACACGAGGCTAATCGCACCTGGTATGACAAATTAAGTGCTGCTCTGAAATCCACGGTATGAGAATTTACGCAACCGCAACATCTGTCGTCTGCTAGCGGACTTCACCGCTACAAACACCACGAACCATCACTATCTATTAGGAAAATTGACAAGCATCCAATATTTCCATAACGGTGCATTACACATTCAAACGAACGTGACAGTACATGGGTGTCACATTCGTTTGGATGTGACACGACATGTGTACTTGGGTACCATGTGTCACATACGTTTTAATGTGACAGTTTGACAGCTGATTGCATGTTACACCCGAAGTAATGTGACAAAGCGGTGCGGTGTGTCACATTCGTTTGAATGTTGATTTTCACCGTTTGTCACGCTCAAACTAACATCGCCGTTTTCACGTGAAAACAAACGTGACGTCACATTCCTTGGCTACCAGTGCCGTTATGGAAATATTGAATGCTTATCAATTTTCCAAAGAGGAAGTGATGGTTTGTGGTGTTTGTAGCGGTGAAGTCCGCTAGCAGACGACAGATGTTGTGGTTGCGTAAATTCTCAAATCGACTAACGTAGCCTCAACCGTGGATTTCAGAGCAGCACTTAATTTGTCATACCAGGCCATTAGCCTCGTGTAAATGAGTTGAATAAATCCACGTCTGTGATCATCCAGCTTGACACAACCCAAAGCCACCTAAGCTTGCCGCAGCTCGGGCGTCGCTACGGAGCATGATCGTCCTTCCGGACAATTTCAATTTTATTTTCATTATTTTAATTTTTTTGGAATAATTACCAATAATTTATATTAATTTTACATAATTCACAATTAATCATAATTAATTCAATTAATGGGGAAATAATTTGGATCAGTTGTGCGTGTATTTACTGAGGCCATCTCCGGATTTCGACTCAAATTCGTCGAATTTTAACTCAAATTCATTGGATTTGTACACCGAAATTAACAGTGATTCCCCCTTGCTTCAGACGGCCGTGAAAGTAGCCGAATTCAAACACGTGGACGAGGGGGGTGGATTTTACGTCCACATTATGTATTTTTGGCTGAGCGATAGCGAAGCCCTTGCCGTGTTTGGGCGCTCCGAAAAGTGACTGGTCGTGCGTCTGTCTGTCTGTCTCTCTGTATGTAATCACTCACGTTTCTCAGCAACTACTGAACGAATAGTATCCAAATTTCACACCTGAAGTCTCCTAAACATCCTAGAGGGGGAGTTTATCTCAGATTAACAATTATCATCGTTTGAAATATTCAAAACATCATTTTGAACTAGGTAATTGGCGTGTTTAGGTTGGTAGCAGCGTGTGGCTGACCAATTTCTCTTACCGGCTGCCGCGCTTGCAAGCCGTCTGGTGCATTCCATCCCAAATCGGTCACTTTTGTAGGTCACCATTTCGGATCATGATGAAAATTTTTTTGTAGGTAGACCTTATTAAAACAACATTCTGTGCAAAATCTCAGCCAGATCAGTCCAGTAGTTCCTGAGAAAAGCGCCCTCAAAGTTTTAGTCAAAACTTCATTTAGGTAGTTTGAGCAAATTCGCACTTTTTCACGTTTTGGCCGATAACTCCGTCACTATTCAAGCTACGATGATTCCCCGCACGGTTTCTGAAAGGGAAAACGGTGAGGATTCAGAAAATGTACTTGGATTTGAGAAATGACTAGGTAAAGGTGGTAAAAAGTGCGAAAAGTCGCAGAAAATTTGTTTTTTTGGACCAATTTTCAGTGAGATTTCCGGCCTATGCCCATATCGTGAAAATCCAAACCAAATAGCGTAAATTGTAGTCCATACCATGCCCAAACACGCTACGATCTCGGAATTGTTGGGTGTGGGTCTAGTTTCGGAGCCGCAGCGGCTTGAAATTTCGTAAAAATAGGTCAAATTCTGTTTTTGGCCATAGTGCACGCGGGCAGTTTTTTTGGAACAGGCTCCACGCGGCACTGGTAGCTTTGTTCAGATACCCCTTTTTGACCTTAGTTGAAGATTTAAGGTTCCCCATTTGAACAATGCAATCGATATTGTTAGAACAAGTGTCCTGGATCCACGAAAAACGAAAGCTGGGAACGCCTGCAGGGCTAGCCCGTATGCCGACCGGTCTTGCCTACCGCAAAGGCGCTCGGGCCACTTCGGTCGGCCAGTGTCTTTCTCTCTCTCCCTCTCTCTAACCCCCCCCCCCCCTTTTTCCTCTTCCCCCGCGGCTATCCCGTCCAGGTAAGGCAGGCCGTCGACGGTGTCCGAGACCAAGTCGCGGCTGGCTCTCCGTACACCGACTACAAAATTTTATTGCACCTCTCGATACGAGGGGGTATGCGCTCTCTGAACCTGTGTACCGACTATTACGCTATTACGCTCTATTACGCCACAAATTAATAGGAATTTAGCTAAAATCGGCCTAAAACACACCAAAATTGATAAAATTTTGACAATTTCGGCTATTACGCTATTACAGAGATAGAGTGAACCGACTATTACGCGAGTGCATACCCCCTCGTCTCGATAGGTCTCGTCAAGACCTTTTCAACGAGTGGTCGGAAGGGGGGTTCAGGAGTCCGACTTCAGCAGTTGCGTTCATCAGGATCTTGGAAAAAGAGGGTCAACCGACCGAAAAAAATGATAGCAGTTTTTGATGGCAGGGTCGACATGGGCCCCGTCCCGATTGAGCCCCGGTGACCTGAGCCCCGGACAGAGCCTCGGCCGAGCCCCGACTCGAGCCTTGACTCCAGACCCGACTGAGGCCCGATGGCCAGAGCCCCGATCTGAGCCCCATTTAAGCCCCACATGAGCCCCGCGCCAAAAAAGTTGCAAAATGACGCAAAATCGCCACTAAAAAAGTTCAAAAATGGAAGTTTTGTTGCGTGGGGCTCAAATGGGCCGCAGGTCGGGGCTCAAACCGGGCTCAGATCGGGGCTCTGGCCATCGGGGCTCAGTCGGGGCTTGAGTCAGGGCTCAAGTCGGGCTCAAACGGGGCTCTGACCGGGGCTCAGATCATCGGGGCTCAATCGGGATGGGGCTCATGTCGACCCTGCCTTTTTGTAACGTACCAAAAGTACGGGATTGCCGGGCAAAAAAAAACGGAATTCCCTGTAAAGAAAGTACGGTGTTGCCTGTAAAAAAAAGGTACGGTATTGCCTATAAAAAAACGACGGTATTGCCTGTTAAAAAAAGTATGGTGAAGTCTGAAGTAATCAGTACAGGATTTTCCGTGATCTTTTCTCGCAGTGTACCCCCTGCAGACGTTCCCAGCTTTCGTTTTTCGTGGATCCAGGACACTTGTTCGAACAAAATCGATTGCATTGTTCAAATGGGGAACCTTTAATAATCAACTAAGGTCAGAAAGGGGTATCTGAACAAAGCTACCCATGCCGCGTGGAGCCTGTTCTAAAAAAACTGCCCGCGTGCACATTGGCCAAAAACAAAATTTGACCTTTTTATACGAATTTTCTCCCGATCGTCTCCTGAAACGCCCGGCGCGGTCATCGGCCGAGAGACGTTTCCGTCGCTCTGTCTCTTTCGCACCCACGGGCTGTGCCCTGCCGTACAGGTGCGAGAGAGACAGACCGACGAAAACGACCCTCGGAATCGGTCTGCAGAGCCCTGTGCTGCGTTGGTGTACGGAGAGCCAGCTGCGACTTGGTCTCGGACACCGTCGACGACGGCATGACTTACCTGGACGGAATGGCCGCGGGGGGGGGGGGGGAGAAAGACACTGCCATAGCGGGCCGACCGAAGTGGCCCGAGCGCCTGTGCAGTAGGCAAGTCCGGACGGCGTACGGGCGAGCCAGTTGGGTTGCCTACCCCCTGCAGGCGTTCCTGAGCAGTTCTCGCGAAATGGTTAATTTTGGGCCCTGAAACTTTTTGAAAAAAAGTTGAATTGAAACCGGGTTTTTTGCATTTATCTTGTTAAGAACATCACTAGGGATCATGGATTCATCGGGGCGAGCTATCACCCCAATAATATAGGAAATATCGCAATTTTAATTTTTTTGCCGTCCACGGAAATTACACAGCCTCAGAAACTGTCCACGGAAATTACATTTTAATGGGCCCTTAGAATAGGTG